CCTGAGCCGGGGGGCACCGAGCCCGCGCTGCGCCGTCCCCGCCCCGCTGCCATGAGCCGCGGACGGCCCGGCCCCGATGGCCCCCGTGTACGAAGGTAAGGCGCCCGGCCGGCCTGGCTTTGTTCAATCCTCGGCCCGCGTCCCAGCCCCCTGCGCCTTCCGGCCCCCGGCTCCGCGCCCCCCGGCCCCCGGTTCTACGATCTCGGGTCCCCAGGCGCCGCGCCCTTCGTACCCCTAGCCCGACGACCCCTGGTCCCCCATGCCCCAGCTCCGCGCTTCCCTCCGCCCTCCACCCAAGCCGGCCGGGTCCGGGTCCGGGGCTCCAGGACAGAGCGGGGGCGCGTCTCCAGGACGAGGAGGAGGCGGGCCAGGCCGAGGTGGGCTCCAGCCCAAAGAAAAGAAGGGGGCGGGGGGGGGGCGCCGGGAAAGCCCGAGCCCGCCGGGGTGAATCTCGGGTTCAAGAAATAGAGCCGATGCGGCTCAGCGCTTGCCGCCCCCCACCCCCCGGAACGGCCCCTCCGACTTTCGTGTCTTCATAGCCACCTTGCCATTTCCCACCCCACGCGCCATTCTTCTCGGCCAGCTTCCAATTGTGGGGGAGCTGTGTGGAGTCGAGCGTTCTGGGGCCAGGTGGGGTTTCTGTGTGTGTGTGTGTGTGTGGGGGGGGTGATGAAAAGTCCCTGTCCGGCCCAGGCAGAACAATGAACGAGGCACAGTCGCCCGCATTCGTGGGTGCGGGGACGTGGAGTTTGATTCCAAGTGGGGACCGGGGCACAGACGAGCGCCAGGGCCCAGCAGACCTGCGCCGCGCACCTTCCCTAGTGCTCTTGGGTCCCTGTCTTAAGGAAGAAAGAAGAGAATCAGGCCCAGGACTCTCCCCCCTCGCTCCCACCGTCTACCCTCCACTCACTCTTTTCTCGTTTCTTTTCTATCTCCCAGTTTTCCCCGAGCCCCCACCCGCCATCAGCGAGGAATCCACTAAGTTTTTACACTTGGATGTGTTTTTGTGTGCATATCGAAGGGCGAATGCTAACCTGAAGCGTGGCGGATTTTGATTCAGTTATTTCATGGGGACGGGAGGAGGGGGGGAACGGACGTTTTTTTCATTCAATCACTGAAATCGCCACCTTCACCTACTATCCCGCCTGTATGGCATACTTTAGGTTTTGGTCAGCTCTTCTGTGCTGAAATGGCAAGCAGAGAGGGCAAAGGGTGTGGATGGCATGGAGTCAGGGAGGAAAAGAGATTTTAATCCTGCCACAAACCCGGAGAACAGTTGAGGCCATTTAATAGTTTTATCTTTGTTATGAGAAGCTGATTAAAGGAAGTAGAAAAAATCCAACTTATCTTACAAGAAAATCTGTTATTAGTTCCAGAACTCCCGATGAATCAGGTTTCTGGGTAGAATAAAGTTACGAGTTCAGGCTCTGGATAGCAAGGCTGTAAATAACCTATGGACTATAAATATTTTTTTTCTGGCTCTCTTAGAAACAAAGGGGCTGTTTAAAAGGCACCAGTGTTATTCCACGGGGCTGTCCTCTTTGATTTTGAAGAACACAAGGTCCATTTAACCGTTGGACCAAACAAAACGAAATTTCTGATCATCCCACCAGGCACAGTAGAACAGGCCGGGTGGGGTGTGAGAACATTCTCCGGGACCCATGTCGGTTCATTGTTCGTCTGTATCTATGGGAAGGGGCGACAGTCAAAGCTCCCACTGTCTGGAGTGTTAAAATGAAACAATTTTCTCTTTATTAAGTCCTTCATTGAAACGCCCTCTGCTGGCGGCGCCAGGCGAGCAGTCCTGAAGGCCTGGAATTGAGTACTAGGACCATGGGTGGAGGGGCTGGGGAGGTGGGCTAGAATGTGTTTTGTCAACTTTGTAGAAAGCCGTCTTGGGAATGGGACCGTTCTGCTGTTCCTTTTGTTCTAAATCCATTTGGAATGGTGCTTACTAGCTGGTCACTTGAGGGTACCTCCCCAGAGAAAGTGCTGTAGGCGTGCAAGGGAAGGCTTACAAATAGACGTGAATCTCAAAGATCTTGAGAGCTCTCTGCTGTTACTTGAGGGGTTCCTTTCTTTATCCCAGTACTGTTCCTGTGACCTCCTGTGTCCTCACTTCCAACATGGACCTTCCTCAGTGTTGTCTCTGTCGCTGGGTTGCATGCTTTTATTCTCCGGAAGTTTCTCTGGGCCTCACTCTGTCTGGGTTGCTGGGATGATGGGTGGTTGGCTGTCTCATAGGCAGATGACCTCTGCAGGCAAGGATTCTAGTGCCAGCAGAGCCTGCATCCACTCCAAGACACCAGGGGCAGGAGTTGACCTCCTTTTCCCTGCTCAGCGATGCCCCCCCCCCCCCGCTCCTCTCCACACCCCCATATGATAAACCTGATTTCCTGCCACCCCATCGGGACACACTCACTTCTTGTGTGTGTCCTAAATGAGCACGGGTTTCCGGTGGCTCCTCGGGAAAGAGCATCTCCAGTGGGCTGGTTGCTTTGACCATGGACATATACTCGGCAGCAGCATCATGCCATGTGATAACGCTTTCTCAGCTGGATTAAGGGGATGCACCTAGACCAGGTCAGAATACTGGGTGCAGGCCCGGGTGCAGTCATGGGACATCTGGGAGTGTGAGACATTTAGATTGAAATTAAAAAACATGCTGCCATCGAGTCAAATCCAGCTCTGAGCGACTCTGTGTAGGATTTCTAAGGCTGTACACCTTTACTGGAATAGACAGCCTGTATTTAGACAGGCCATTGTTTGAAACCGATCTGTTTGATCATGTGAATTCACGACTGCTAAAGTATCATCAGTCTTGCAGGACTGGCATCAAGGGTCAGTTTATAAATAGCATGTTCCTATTCAGTGGTGTGGTACCCATTAAGGGAACTGGTTTTTGTTTTGTTTTAAAGTTTATTTTCTTTGGAAAGATTCACCTTGCCGTGTTTACCCCATCAACTTGCTCAGCAGGCCATCTGTCAAAATGTGGAGCGAAGGCTCGCTAAGAGTTCTGAATTGCCATGGGTTCTGAATCAGTGGTGGTGATCATCTGCTATAATTATTAGCAGATTGTCAGCATCTGACTCATGGCAACCCCATGCCCAACAGAACCAAACACTACCTGCTCCCGCATCATTCCATGATCTGTGTGGATTGTACTTTGTTGATCTACTGGATTTTCAGAAGTAGATCACCTAGTCCGTCTTAGTTTGAAAGCTCTGCTGAAACTTATTTCTGTTGTTGTTAAGTGCCGCTGAGTCGGTTTCAACTCATAGTGACCTTGTGTAGGTTTCCTAGGAGCAGCTGGTGGTGGGCTTGAATCGCCGACCTTGTAGTTCAAACTAATCTTGCGGTCCAGCACATTATCCTGCAGTACCACACCAGGACTCGGAAATGTGTCTTCCAGTGACAGATGGTGGAGGCTGCACATGAGGTGAACTGACTGGCAATCGAACCTGAGTCTCCCACCTGAAAGATGAGAATTCTAAACCTAAATTCCAAGTGTGTCTGTGATATGAGATGCAGATCAAAATTGGAGCATTCCACTGTCAGGCTTTGAACAACCCCATATGAGATCTATCATCATCGGTACCTGAGGACACCTGCCGATACCCCACCGAGAAGTGGAATTCTGAATCATCATCCGTTCAGAGAATTTGATGACACACAGTGTTTCCGTTTTATATATTTAAAATGAGTTGGTATAAACATTGCTTTCCCTTCAGCCACCCGGAGTAGCGATTCAGGCTGATGAATTTCATCCATGATTCTGGACCCTGTAGCCCCATACTGGGATCACAGGAGCCCAAGTTTGAACGCAGCTTAATTACTTACTGGTTTTGAGCACTTTTATTTGGGCTTGTAACTTTGCTGAGTTGTTTTTTTTTAAATCAACCTCAATGGATTGTGGAAGGACTTTGGGTGGACATTGTTCAGCCCTTCTGTCTTCAGGGTGACTTACAGGCACCTTCACTCCAGGGAAAGAATAACCCAACAGAGGTTAGAAGCCCAGTTGTGCCAACACTTCAATGATTTATCTTCCACTTTCCCCTTCCTACTCTGGGTGCCGACAACATTAAAGCCTTCTAGCTCTGGAAGGAAGAATCTCTCCTTTAACCTGGGAACAGTGGGCTAAGCACTGGACTGCTAACCAAAAGGTTGGGGGTTCAAACCACCTGCTGCTCCATGGAAGAACAATCAGGCAGTCTGTTTGAATGAAGATGACAGCCTTGGAAATGCTCTGAGGCGGTTCTCCTTGTCCTTTGGGCCACTGTGTGTCAGAATCAACTTGAAGTCAGTGGGCTTGGGTTTCTTGGTTTGGTGACCTCTCTGGATTGGACTCCTAGTATGATGCTGTAGGATAATCACTGGACTGCTAGCCAAAAGGTTGGTGGTTCAAACCCACCAGCTGCTCCTCGGAAACCCTATACAGCGGTGCTGTGAATCTGAACACGTGACGGCACTTACCCACAGCAACCAGATTTTTCATTCCCATTGAGCTGAGGTTGTGGGCAGATAGAAAATTTCTTTTTCTGTAGCGGCACTTTCTTAGGGCCCTTATAAAATGCGGGAACAAACCAACCCCCCACCCCCACCCACTCACCCCCACACACACAGGCCATCAGCAATTGCAGTTAGGCTGCAGGGATGGTGTCATATGGGTGTCATCTTTGCCCCCTGCTGGGACTATTCCTAAACAAGGCAGCAGTCAGGAAACGGAGGGCTCACAGGCTGCTCAACAAGGGCCTCTACCGAGGGGGCCACTAACTCAGCCACAAGCACTGGTCTGCCTCGTCTCACGATGAACCTAATTCTTCCTACAAAAGACCATTTGATGTTTTGTGCAAGCAACAGCTGCTCAGATTTTTTCAGGTTTTATGTGTCTTTATTTTTCTCTTCCTTCCTTCCATGGACACCAATTCCTGGGGAAGCGTCTCTGGGGGTGCCATGGGACACACAGAGCAGTGATGATGGAGAGGATACGGTGCCTGGGCACTTTCTCGTTGTCCTAGTAGTGCATGCTTTGCCAGTCCTTCCTGATGATGGTCTCATGGTGGCCTTTCACAGAGACTGGCTTCAGGATACTGCT